CATTGAGCAAGTCAGGACTGAAGAAACATGGAAAGAATTATCTTTATAGATCAGCTTGTTCAATAGCTCCAGCTTCCCTGACTTGTCCTTGCGGGATGTTTTCCTTTCAAAATGATGAAGATTATTAGGCCTGTGGGCAAGTCATGATGGCTCTCTTTAGAAAGGGCTGGGAGTGATGGATGACTTTTCTCTGTCTTCCTCCACCTCCAAATTAATAACGGTACACCATAATTTGTCTCCCTGGATCCTTTTCCCAGTCTAAGCTAGATCTCAAGAAAATGTATTTGCGCTAGGAAAAAAGGCAAGTTCTTCCTGAGAAGAGGGAATCTAAAGAAAAATGATAATAAAATATTATCTGTTACTGACTGGTCCTTCCAGGCAGAATAATTGACCACAGTTGGGGTCCAAACACTTCAGAAGGAGTTCATCAGAACAGTGTCTAGGAACCTTGGGATATTTTAGAAGAAAAAGACTGTTCATGCAAGGAGACTGGACAGAAGCTGGTTGTTGGATGGTAGCAATAGATGGATCACATAACGTTAAGCTTGCATCACTCTTTCCATTATAAATCCTGAGCCTGTCTGGGCTCCAAACTATCAGCTAAAAGATGAGCAATATTTATTTTCAAATATTGTGCAAAATACTTTGAGTCTTTTTGGAATCCCAGGGTGATGGGGAGGGGGAAGGCAAAGCATGCTGGATGATTTCCTCTTTTGCAGAGCGTCCAAACTGTTTTGTTTCTGAAGTTCCAGACCAAAATGGGCTTAATTTTAAGCAAATATTTATTCTTTCTTCAGTTGGGAGGGGTGAGGCAGAAATAAAAGCATCAGTGTTTGACCTCTAGCAAGCAAGTTCAGGCTGTGCAAAAACTGCATGTGGTAGATGAACCAGACTCCAGAATAAAAGAGAGGGAGAAAGATAGCAGAATACTCTGTAGTGGCCTGGAGTTCAAACTAACAGCAGTATTATTTTGTAGGAGCTTTTAAAGGACACCTTCAGATGGTGTCTGGTCTTTGTAAAGGTGCAGGAAATGACATCTCCTCTTCCAAACCCACCATCTAATTCTGATGTTATTGAATTGGACAGTTTAAATGAGTATCTGTTTGACCAGCAGGACAAGGAGTCAGTAGAAGTCCAAAGTTGACAGGCTGATGAAGAGCATGAAGGAAAGGAATTCCTCACTCCTTCTATTTTCTTTCAAAAAAACAATCATTAAGAGCAAATAATTATCCAGCAGTACCCAAGGAAGGTGGTTCCTTGCAAAGTATTTGTAATATAAGTATTAAAGCTATGATTACTTGTGAAGATTCAGGCTTGTTTAAACTCCCCAGTGAGGACACCCACCTTCTAAGGAAGTGGTTGCTGATGCTAACTCAGACTTGGAACTGTGTTACTCATGTTACTATCCTGCTTTTTAAAATTCCCCACTGCCTTCTGATTTGAATATGCCATTTTATGTTCCTGTTTGCTGTGGAAGACCAGGAGAAAAGCTGGTCCTACATACCACGGAATAGATTTTCTCTTGAAGCTGTTATTATTTCCAGAAGGTTTGCCATAGCTGGTGGTGTTTGCATGTAAAAAGATCAAACCACAAACTTATTTGAAATCTGTGGGGCGATCCTCATGTTCCTCTGAGTAATAGTTTCTGATGACCAGTTTGAGTGGGAGCAGCAGGCAATATTTATCCTTACTCTTATTCAATCCCTCTACTACCTGGTACTGTAGAGCTGTGATTACTACTACAGCTGGGTCCTCAGCCTCTGGAACTCATTGTGGGCCCATGTACCTCAAGTTTTGTACTAACACCTGGCTGCAGTGAGTAGCAACCTGATTTTCACTCAGACAACAGCTGAGCAGCTACAGTTTACACAAATGAACATAAAGCTGGTCAGTGCCTCCATTTCTCCAACCTGAGGAGTGACCACTACAGTAATGCACAATTTCTTTGCAATTCAGACGGAGTCAAGGTGGGATTATGGCCATTTTCCAAAGAGCCACAAAGAATTGAAGACACTGCCCAGGTCTGTATCCATTTCCCATGAAAAATGGGGCAATCTCAAGGCATTAGAGTCTGGTTCAAGATTGTTTGCCCTAACCTGGGAGCCTGCACTAGCTCTTCTTACTAGCTGAGGCAGCACTAAGGTTTTACACTTGAGCAAAGTTCTTCACAGTCATTACACCCTGAACCTACACAAACAATTCTGCTGTCTGACTCCATTCAGCTTTGGAAACTTTCTATAGACCAGAGCAGATTTGTATCATACCTACAAAGCCTTCCATTGGGGCTTGATTCAAATCCATTGGTTTGGATTTCAGTCTCAGCTGAGATATTACACCTCAGGCACTGTCTTACACGTGGACAGCAGCAGATCTCACAGGCAGCAGCTGGTCTGTGCTAATCAGAATCTTCTGACACCAACCTCAGTATAACTCCCTTTGCTGGTGTGATCTATCTCCTTTATAACGCAGTGGTGATAAAAACAAAGACATTGTCTTTTGTGGAGCTTCTCAATGATAGTTCCTGCTCTTGATTGCATGATTCATGTGATCTCAGAAAGAAATGTAAATTAAATATATCAAAAGATAAATTTGTAAATAATAATATATTTTAGAGTCTGTATTTATAGAGAAAGCACCCATTCCATTAAGAGGAAAAAGCCCTCATTCATTTCTGCCCTCTTTTACACAAAAGTAAACTGTTTACTGTTTGCTTTCATTTACTGAATTGCTTTCATTTACAAGGATCTTTGACATCCCAAGCCCCTTATCTGTCTCTTCCTCTTGCTCCTTACAAGCACAAATACTCTTTTCTGCATTGAAAGCCAGTGTACAACACTAAAGGCACAGAGTAGAGCTAGCAATTTTTTACCCAAGGTTTCTGTGGCATCGCATGTCCTTGTTGCAGTTTGAACTACAGGACCACTGAATAATAGACCACCACTTTTATTTTTGGTGGGAAGTATGAGCTGGGGTGTTACAGTAGGCAGCTGACATGGGGACAGATCTGCAGAAACAATAAAGCCACTGCAGTACTACTCAATGCTGCAGCCTGGGTTTAACCTCTGAGCTCCCTGTAGGCTTTTGTTTTGTTGCTATCACTTAACATGATTCATTTTGGGTTTTCAGCTTGGACTCAGCATACCAAGTTTAATCAAACAGCTTTTTCCTCCTTGATTAGAGAAGCAAAGTGTATGTGACACTTTGCAGGAGATACTGTAGGTCCAGAGAGTTAAAAAAAGCCTCTGAATCTGAGGTATTTATTGTGTCAAAGGGAATATTAATTACAATAATTTATACCTTATGAATTGCTGCCTATCTTTATGAGGCAGAGAGGTGGTGGCAACACACAAGTGTGCCCTGATACCACTTTCTCCTCACATACAGTGTCAGAAAGTATTTTTTGAAGAGAGTGGTGTTTTAATTTTTGGGGGAAAGAATATTTTGGAAGAATGTAGACTTGGTTCTTTCTCTTTAAGATACTAGTATCAGAATCTCAGTCCCTTACTGAACAGTTTCTCATAATCCCACTGGGAAAGAACAATGTCCATAGTGGGAAGTTTTCCCCTTACAATTCCTTCTCTTTCTCTAGACCGTATTCTCTTTCAAGCCGAGAAGTCAGCAGCAAAATCTTTGGGGACAGAGTTCAACACTCATGATTCTAGCTTCTTATTTCTCTCTGTTGCATGAGTTGGGACAACAGGCTGCAACATCCAGCAATTAAAGAAAAATAAATGTGGGATCAGTCTTAAGATGGTCACATACTCTGTGTTACACAGACTACTGCCAGGATCTGCAAATATTTGTGTGATCAGGCTCCACAGGGTTTAGGGCAGTAAGGACTGAGTCGCTTTCCCACAGCCCCCCTTTTCCCTCCCTCTCCATTACTCCTCCACCCCTGCTGTTTCCCAGTCCTCCCAGGTTTCAGGATAAGATACAAAAAAATTTATTATTCAGTCAGAACTCTTGGGTGACCTTGGAGGTATAAATGTCTGGCCAAATGACATCCTAGCATTTGCTCAAGCACACCCTTCCCTATTCCACATCTCCTGTAGATCCTGTGGGTTGCAGTTATGTTTTTAATATTATTGTCTTTTCTCTCGCCCTCCACCCTAGAGTAATTAAGTAATTTTTTTTCCCTTTCAAGGCTTGTGTCAATGAACAGTCAAAGGGTGAGACATGAACCTGAGTAGAGGAACCTCTGGCAAAACCTTTGAATGCTATGCATCTGTGTGAGAAGAGAAATGTCAGGAGCAGTTAGCAAAAAATGAATAGGCACGATCCAACTCTGTGACTTTTCTCCTGCCAAGTTCTCCAGCGCTCACTGGATGATCCAGCACGGCTTTGACAAGGCTCTCTGTTAAAGATTTCTTCCTCCTGTTTACCTGCTGTCCGGCTTAATTGGGAAAGTTTGAGTTCAATAGGAAATGGTCAGCAAGCCTCCAGGACACGCTAGCAACAGCAGGCTAGAGTCAAAACAAATCCAGGCCCACTACCACAACAAGGTGGTGGCCCTGATCCAGGAGAGACTGGGGAGGCAGGGGGAGAGTCACTGCTCTGGGCTTTCTCTGAGCTGCAGTGTCTGTGGGATGTGGAGCTGTGCCTCTGTACAGCAAGGACAGCCCCTGGCACTGGGAATGATGAAAGCAGACTCTTCCAGTGTGCAGTGACCACTTTCTTTTCTCCCTGCCTGAAGCTGACTCTCATATCCATGGACAGTTTCACCACTGTTCGGTCCGTTTGCAGGAAACCAAGCAGCTTTGCCAAGGCAAGTCTTGCTTCATCTGTAATATCCCTTCTTTGTTCATCTTCTCCCATGACCTGACTTCCATATCTGACAGCCCAGCTGCTGATTTAATGATTTAATGATTTAATGCCAGCTAAAAATGAGGTTTCTGGGAAGAAAGGACATGTATGTACATACACATTTTAGATGAACAGATTGTCATGGGTCTTTTTCAGGCACTTAACAGTACATGTCTTTATTTTCTCCAAGAGACTCATGCTGGCCTACCACTCCAAAAAGGAGCACATTGCTGATTTTTAGTTGGGATGGAGCAATGGCAGAGAAGCCGAAGTGTAACAAGGATTTCACATGCGGAAAGAAAAGTGCTGCTCAGTCTGTGACAACCTTCTGGTGCAGGAGAAGCAGACAAGGTAATAAAATTTCCCTCTGTCTTCCACCTCCACTTGAATACTCCTACTTCCCTCGTCACATCAAGCCACAGCTGCAGAGGGAGGCAGTAATGGCCAAAAGGCAGTATTTTACCAATGCTTTATTCAAAGTTCTATTTTACAAAGCATTTAGGCACTCCAGGCTTACCTTGAGACCTGATTGAGTCTTCCAAGTTACCTCAGCTCCAGGGAATAAATTTACTTTCTAAACTGGGTAGACAGATTGATTGTAATGGGTAGCAGAGAACTGAGTTTAACCCCTCACTTACTGGAGATGAGGCAAAGTGCTCATGAGGCTTGGGCTCAGAATTTGATTCTGAATATTCTCTCCTTCATTCTAAGCCCTGCCTGGAAAGGCAGAGTACAGCTAGGGGATCTGCAGTATAGTGAATGACTTATTATACATCACTTTTTATATATATATATTAAAAGCTTAAGCTAGTCAGCAAAGGCAGGAGATCCATGGTTGCAAGGTGAAGTCAGAAGGTAAACTTGAAAATGAGCTGCAAATCTGACTTTTAGCATGAAGTTAATTAACCACTGCAAGAGATTCACTAAACACTTGGTGAAATCAAGGCAGGGAGTTGTCTTAAAATTTGCATTCTGGTTCAACCACAAAATTATAAGTATAAAAGTGGGCATTACTGAGTGAGTTTTTCTAGCCTATGAGAGGGAACATAACAATTAGAGGATTTTTTTTTTCCTGGCTATAGAAAAGAATAGGGGACAAGCTATGAAAGGACATCTCACAAAAGTCCTAGTTCAAAAAATATTAAGATGAGAAAGTTCCTTTTACTGTTAAACTTTTCTTTTGTTTCACACAGACAGCAAATTGAGTGGAAATTGAATAATCATCCAGTTATTCCCTTCAGCACTCAGATGATATTCCTTATGCCCTTTCCCAGGAGCCATACTTTCTGGAGTTCTTTCTGAAGAGACCAAACTTAAGATCCATTCTTCTGTTCCAGCTCCTGCATGCCTGCTCTAATTTTGTGGGTTTGTACTTGTGGATGCTGATGCAGCTTTCCAGGGCTCATGGCCTGTCAGGGTGCATGGAAGTCAGCATGGTCTGACCTAGGGAGAGGAATGGCTTTGTGTTGTTCAGTTCTGGGGCAGGAATTAGAATAGCTGTGCAGTAAAAATGCAATTCCCCCTAGGTTCTGCAGCAGCAGTAAACTGGCTGTCTTTTGGAGTGACTGTTATTACTGCCCAGTTTCTTGCCAGATAATTTGGCTGCACCTCCAGATTTCTGTAGGGGATAATCTGAGGGTGTTCACACTGCTGTACCAGGAGTATCAGCTAGATTGCACCAAGATTAGCTCCAAGGTCTTCCCGCAGACAAGTAATGTGGACAAACTGCATATTTGACCTCAGGATCTCTTCTACACCTGAGTATAAACACAATCACTGTGCCCTTGAAAATGTCCTTCAAGAGGCCTGCTACACAGGCTGCTCAGATCTGAGGGATACAGTTCACCTGGAGTTCTGCTCCACGCTGCATTCACACCATTGCAAGCACACCAAACTCTACAGCACACAGTGTTTTGTGGCAAAGCCCTGCAGAAGCACTTTAATGCCTGAGTTGAAGTGACATCCACACTGCAGAGGTTTCAGGCCTCCTTGTAGAGCATCCACTGAACCCCAATAGGAGACAGGAGTGTGAATCATCAACACATCATTCCCTACCTGAACTTACCAAGAGGCCACTGGGGAGTAATTTCAGGGCAGAGATAGGAGGATGAAGAGAGTCCACAGGGAACCAGGGGAAATACCTGCCAACAGTTGTGCCACGACTGTGCCTTGGGACTGCCAGGAAAAAAGACAGCCTATGGAGCTGAGAACAATATCAGCACAGCCATAAGGTTTAAAACAGCAGTAAGCTGCAGAGAGATATTCAAGCTTAGTGTCAAGATCAGGACAGTTTTAGGGAGCCCTGAGCTGCTCAGAAGCACAGAATTAATTTTTTTTCTAATAGAAGTTACAAAATCAAGGTAGAAGACTGAAAATTAGCGTGAACTAAAATTAATTATCTTTAAGTGAATTGTGGAAGCTATCAGTTTCCCCAGCAAATAGCCTTGCAAACAAAGTAATAATAATAATTGCTAAAAGTAAAAAAAAAAAAAAAAAAAAAAAAAAAAAAAAAAAAAAAAAAAAAAAAAAAAAAAAAGAGACTGAAAGAAAATGGAGACAGTATGAGAGGAAAACAAACCCAGGGGATTTGATTTATAAAAGGCAGGCTGTGTGGTGTGTCTGCAAGTGTGTCTGAAGTGCAGGATCAGCCAAGAATGTGTTTCCTGGAGCAAAAGAATAGCTAGGAGAAGTGGATGTCTTTGCTATCACTGTAGAGGGTCTTGAGCAAAACCACAGCAAAGGTGTGGAGTGACAGATCCAAAAAGGAGGGAAACATGCTCAAACCCTGGAGGTGTTGTGACTGTACCAGAACAAGAGTTGCAGACCCAGTCTGGCAGTGACTGAAAGGGGGAACATGACTGTACGAATGCTGCAGATGCTGAAGTTTCTCTTTACGGCTCCATTTCAGAGTTGCACTTTCTGAGGTTGATTTGAGAAGGAAATGGTTACATTTGAATCCACTAAGGCACAGAGGAGGTGGTGAGAAATAGGGAGTGGATGGAGCTGTTCTACAAAGGAGTTCATGTGTCACCACCCTCCTAGGAGTGCTTGGCTTCCTACATTTTACTGGAAGTTATCCTCACAATGCCCTGATGAAGTAGGGAAGCATTTGTTGTGTTTTTACAGACAAACAAAGCATTGAGTAGATTCATTAATTACCCTGGGGAATTTCCTTTGTCACTACCCACACGTGTTTTCAACATGATGTTGGTTTCTGGCTGGCCCTGGTTTTACTTTGATCCATCAGACCATCTCCTTCAGCTTGCACTAACCAAGAACTGGGATCTTACTTCAATGGGTTGCTGCAAGTTACTGATGCAGTGAAGGGTTTATTACTGGATGTTAGCGGTTCATTCTGTGAAATTCTGAGTAAGGGGAAGGAAATTCCAAACCAATTATGTAACAGAGAAAAGGAGTAAAATTCATCAAAGAAACAGAGCCATGTAAATTAATCACTCAACTGATGATTTTTTTTTTTTTTCTCAAATCACATGGACAGGACCCTATGTGGCTAGAGGAAAAAAAATTCAATAAAAGGGTTTGGGTTTGGCTTCACAGCATAGACTGATTAAAGACCTTCTGCTGGGATGTTAACCTTTTATTAGCATGAATCTAATAATAATATATCACCACAAGTATATTTACTTTGCTGATGCCAGAGGGCCTTCAGGCAACTCAATAAAATGCAGCTCAAATAGTGCTTGATCATTAATAGGACAATGTGCTGAAATAAAACTGAGAGCAGGGATGAACTAAAAGCCTAGAATCCTTCTCCAGTGCATGTAGGCTGACAATAACCCAGATAAAATGTCTGTACTCTTTTAGCAGCAGCTTCAGAGCACTGTGTATGTTGAACACAATGAATATATTAGCTATTGGCATCTGCAAAATAAGCATATCCATATATCCCATTCTTAGGCTTCTGAAAAGAATCTGTCTCTTCTCAGAGCTCTTTGGCTCTGGGATTTATCATGAGACCAAGCCCACAAAAGGACCAAAAGAAGACCAGAGCCAGAGCTGTGGAAGGCATCAGAAAGAATCCCAGATTTTCAGGTGGGTTTTGGCTGAACCTCTTTTCTCTTGCCTTTCCAGCAAGAAAGGAAACCTTTGGCATAGGATGCCTTTGAAGGCAATCCAGGTTCCTTAATGACATTGAGAGGTCTCTTCCAACAGCCCCAGAGACTGAAGGTGACTGTTGTTACTACACAACACAGAGAGCACATTATCAGTTTCCATGTTCCCTCTTTTTCAGCCCTCAGTCACTGCTGTTTACACTACATAACCTCTGAAAAAATCCTGCTTAGGCATGGAAGAGGAGCTGCATGGACTGAGTTCTCAGGCTGCATCTTGCTGGCATCTGCTACTGGACAAATGAAATAAATGTCTCAATCATAATGGTTTGAGCATGACATGTCATTTTTTTCCTATGCACCTTTTCTGCTGTGTCTATTGGGATGTGCTCCCACTGAACCATGTGGCTAACACAACCTGCTGTATAAATCTGTATTCAGAAAGAGCATATTCAGAGGTAAAGGAGGCAGAGGAGGCAGTCTACATTTTCAGAAGCAATAAAGAAGGGGCTAGGAAAGACATGCTGAAGAGTCAGATGCTCACAGAGCTGAGTGGAAAGAAGGAATAAGGACATTATTTCTGTAGAGATTTGGTCGTCTTAACCTTCACCTGCTGTGGATGTTCCCAGCTTGTCCTCCATTTCCCCTTGCCTTTTGGATCCCATCCCTATCCTCTGTGGGAAAGCGCTGGCAGCAGACAGCTGCTAAGGATCAGATCCAAGAAGTGGGTCCATGCTCAAAGCCAGATGTGTGGCAACACAACGTGGATGAGGAGGCCAAGGCGAAAGAAGCTGGGAAGGATAACCTTGAACAGATGGGAGAGAAGCAGCAAATGGAGCTGTTTGTCTCATGCCCATGACACAAGGAGTGGAAGGAGGGGAACCCTCTGAAGCTGAGCTCTGACACCAGGAAGCGGCTCCATGTGCTGCCTGCTTGGATGTGACGGCTGTCCAGGACCTGGATGGGCCTTTCACTCGAACCTCTCATATTATATGCCTAAAAGGAGGGGGAAGTGGGAGGTGGCATTTCTTAAATGGCGTTTTTCCAAAGCAGGAGAACAATACAAATCCATAAACATTCTCATGTGCTGCCACAAACAGAGCTGGTGACTGGATCATGTCCCTGATCCTGTAACGCTGCAGTGTATGGAGGGACCACACTGCAGAAGTGCTTGTTCTGGACAGGATAGGGGAATGTTGCTCAAACTCAAACACATTTTCTTTCACATCAGTTTTTCAGAAGCTGTTTTTGCAACATGTCAGGGTGGAAATCATTGCTAAAACATGATTTTATGCATGTGCATCCAGTCAGACGTTTGGTGTGGAGGAGGTTAAAACAGCCTTCACTTGGTACCAAGCTAATTATTTGAGGTTTCTGTCACACACAGAGAGCTCCCACCACCAGGTTTGAGAAACAATAGAAGACTTTTTTTTTCAATAAGTGAATTGATTGCTAATTAAATCATGTGTAATTACAAAATGGCTGGTGACTTTTTTTATTAATTTCTCCTTGGCTGCAAGAGTCTAAAGCTCCTAGCTCAAAAAGCACAGACTGTGCATGGAAACACAGTACATGTAATTAGATTACAGATTAAAAGGGATTATATCAAACCGTGAGAACCAAATGAAAAACTGAAATTTGGAAAAAGTAAAAATAAATACAATAAAAATTAAATCTAAATAGTAGTGGTGAAATGCTGACCATTTGGACAGTACACAAATGCACAGTGGGGAGTTGCTACATTAACTCTAGATGTTACAAGTCTATTGTTACATAGTGGGGCACACTATACTTAAGTATATATATTAAGATGAAGCCAGGCTCTTTAGATATTTATTTTAAGATACAAACACATGATGAAAAAGGGCAGAGCTAAGGCTGAACTTTTTTTGTCGTCTTTCTAAACTACCTTAAGATTAGTGCTATGTAGACAATGGCTCTTTTGCACAGGATGTTTTATTTTAGCAATAATCTCAAGTCTCTCCCACCCCTTCACCTCTCTGGATCTCTGGGAATGAGAGTGGTTCTCACAGGAGTGCTTTCCTGTGACCCAATTATCTAAACAAATTAAAAAACATAAAAGTGTCCCCACCTAAGTCATGTCATGCTAGCTCAGGCTATTTTTCATCTTCCCTAAAAGAAGAAACTAAAAATACACATTGTTTGTTTGTGACTGATGATGAATGGACCATGGCTCCTGCTGTCAGAGGGTTAGAAACTGCATCACAAATGAACTAAATATCACTGCATAAATTCCTGTCTTCAGCACTCTCAGCAGAAAGTCTATTTTTTAAAAAAATTATTAAGAGGTGTGCTTCTTTCCTCCCAGACTGTGTATGGACTTACCTATACAGAGGTAAGGCCTCTGTGTTGTGAAACAGAAATGTCTGAGGGAAGGCCAGTTTTAGGGAAAAGTAACCTAAGTGCTTATAGGGGATCCAGGTCATGGCAAGGGACACCGGTATCAGTGTGTTGTACTTCATATCACACAGTAGATGTACGGAAGGAAGGAAAGCTGGGGTTTCTTCGGGCTTGTTTGTTGGTTTGTATTTTTCTGCCTAGTGAGTTATCTCCCTGCCTTGCACACTTATGAAGAATAGCTGAACTCCTTTTACCCCTATTTGCTCTTTACCCCACCCATTAGCTCTGGCTCCTGTTTGCAGCTGGTGTCTCCAAACTTCAGAGGATAGACATGAAGACACAACGTCCTCAGCACAGCACAGGAACTTCAGCAGCTCCTATGTCTGTGACACAGAAAAAGTGCAGTAAAATTAAATATTACCTCATTACTGCTGAAAATTTCCAGCTTTGATTTCATATAAGATTTTGTATTTGTATTTTATATTTTGTAGTGAGACTATTTGCCTCATGACAAAATGAGAATTTCAGAGTCAATTCACAATGAAGAGCATGAGTGTCAGGTGTTTAGAACTCTCCTCATGTCATCTAATCAATTGCTTATATGGAGAGTGTGATATATTGTAACTGTTATTCCTTTTCAGATATTCTTTACTTTTGAAAACTGGGGCTGACCATGCATGTAGGGGTTGCAACATCCTATTACTCTGGGTCTGGGTTGGCACCAAAGCCAATCCCCTACCAGACTGTCAGTCAGACTTGCCAGGTCTCAATTCTGTCTCAATTCAGTCTCAATTCATAAAAATTGGGGTTTTATTTTTATTTTTACTTTATTAGGTTCCTTTCCTTATGAAAGGAACACAGAGAGAAAACAGTCTGAGTTCTGAGATTGCAGAAGGGGATTTATGGAACTGTTCTGCAGTGATCTAGAAATAAAATACATTTGCTCATAATTTCATTCATTTCCCCCATTTTCTAAAAATTCCTCCCCCTCACTGCAGAACAATTAGTACTGTAGTTTTCCCTGGAAACAAGCAACATCTAAATAAAGTCCTTGTGTAACTACCAACCACTCTGAACCCCATGAGCTCCTTCACCTCACCTGCCTTTTACATCTTCCCTGTGGAAAGACTTTCACATTAGCCAAAATAAGTTTTTTTCCTTTCTTTTCATATGTCAGCGTAAGGAATAAAGAGCAACAGGGACTCTCTGTCATGTTAAAGGTCAGTTGCATAAGTTCTCTTAAATGGCAATTAAATGATTCTATGACAAACAGGATGCACTTGGAGTGCAGACATCAGCTCCGACCTTGGGACCTGGGAGAGTCTGGGAAAGAAAAAAAACACTTTGGGAAAATAAACATAACACCCAAAACTGTATTCATCTGCTGATGAATCAGCAGGGAAACTCTATCATTTCCCCTGTGTCACTAGGGAGATACAAAATGTAGAAACACTTTAATTTCTTGCTCAAAGAAACTGTCTGTTTTAAGATCAGCTGTTCATCCTACAATGTTAGGAACAACCTGTTGAATTACTCAGTGCCAGCCTAAGTATTTCAGCAGTTTGAGGGTAGAAGAGACATAGTAAGACCACATCTAGTCAATGATACACAACTCTGTGGTATAAGTCTGGGAAAGGGGTGATGCATGATTACAGAGCGCTCTGTGAATGACAGAAGAAAGAGCAGCACTTCCTAGGAGGAAGCCTGGCCAGTAGCTGGACAGAAGCCTCAAAAAGAAGTGTTCAGGCACACAAAACAGCCCCATGAAGAGAACTGGTCCAAGCCACAGCCTCTTGCAGGATGCACTCATTACCCACCCCATCCAGTTGTCCTGTTCATATCTCAACTGGAGGTTAATTCGCGTGAAGGGTTTATCTAATGCTGAACTTTTTTTCTATATAGGTTTTTGCTGAAACCTGAGACCTTTTTACTGGACACCATTGGAGAAGGTCAGGGTCTTCATTTGGAAAGGGCCACAGTAGGTGGTAGGGTGGATACATAAGGACAAGACGTCTTGGAGATCTCATTTTTTCAGACTGGTAAAACAGTGCACAAGGCAAAGCAAACATGAGTTGGAGGACCCCAAAGAAGGCTTCAGTCAGACCAGGAATAACCTGATTAACAGCACAAATATGGAAAATGTCAAGTAAAAGCCAAGTGTTTTTCTGAAAAAGAATGAGATATTGATCTGCCTTTAAAACTCACTGGGCACAATATGATGAGGAAAGGAAGGAAGCAATAAAAACCCTCTTGAAAGAGGATGGAAAAAACCTCCCATGCTCACCAGATAGTTCCAGAACTGCAAGAGCTGAAGTGTATTTCAGTGAAGAGAAATGTAAGTAAAAAGCTATTCTCTTGAGAGCCATTTTCCTGAGAAAGTTGGTGAGATATATAGACAAATTGATTGGCAGGGAAATGCAATACAGTTTGGTCTGGGATGTGTCTCCTTGGGAGATACTTCTGAGTTTGGGATGAGAATAGGACAGAAAGCAGTAAGGGCAAAGCAGGTTCAGTTGAGGAAAAAAAATATTAAAAGGAAAAAAATATACAGAGGAAGTGTTAAGTGTTCCTCTCTAAAAAATAAAAAAATCTTGAAACAAATAAATAAAAAGTCATTGTTTATGAAGGGCAAGAAAAACTTGAGGACAGCTCAACACACTGGCCTGGGGAGTGCCAGCAGCTTGGGCTGTAGCACAGCACAGTGCACTGAGAAAATGATCTCAGGGATGAGAGCAGGGGAGTCTGAAATTTCACAGGAAAAGAGGCAATCCAGGCCTGGACTCTTCCCTCTGTCTCTCCTTTCCAAGTCTTTCCTTGCCAGTGAGAGGTGACTTTGGAAAATATGAAGAATGGGATGGGCAAGCAAAATTCACTTGGCAACATCCAGTTTCAGGGGCTAGAAAAGAGAACTGAAGAGGATCCAGAGGCTGAGTTCCTGACCTCAAGGAGAATCCTGAGGGATATTTAAGCCACATTAATTCCAGCAGGCAGCGGGACATCCTGGCAGGAGATGCTGCAGGGAGGGAAAACTGAAGTGAAGGGAAATGCTCTTGTCTGAACTAGGGCTGATTAATGCCTTAAGAACTAAGGGTCTGCTCTCTTGTTTCACAGTGCTCAGTTATTCACCAGTCTGCCCATGGCAACAGGTGAAAAAAAGGCAGTAGACAACAGACTCTAGGATCCTTCAAGGAAAACCCAGACCTTGCATTAATCACTAATTCGAAAGTTTCAGGGAATTATGTGTGAAAACTCTTCTGTATTCCCTTCCCTCTGGTCTTATTTTTTAGGTCCCAGCTTGAGAACAGAAACAGAAAGAAAGCTTCTGTAGAGAAGAAATTTATCCTGTGTTTTTCACAGAGATATCACATTCCTCATTTGCTACTAGAGCTGGAAGACTCCTCTTGCAAACCTCAGGACTGAGCAGAAGCAAGCCTGCAGATGATAAACGTATCGTGGCGCATCAG